AAAGTTAGAATTACTTTTAAGTAAAAATTAAAGTAGCTGTTTAGTATACTTAACTAATTTAAAGTTATCACCACTTTGGCAATGGTTTTTGGAACCAAAAATGCTGCTTGGGACTGGCCGACAGCCATTTTGGTGCAGGGTAGACAACAACTTTTTTAGGTTAATTTGAGTACGCTGAATCCAAAAATGAACATCATTTTGCTCAATCAGCTCTTGTTTTTGCGATGCATCGCGATGTAACAAAAAACCATTTTTTTTATATGCGCACATTCAAATGCTTAAATATATTTTTTTAAACTTCTAATTTAAGCAAGGATAGTTGGTAATGTTGCTATTAAACTTAACAAAAAATACCATATTCATTGATAATGGTGTTCTCTTTAAAAATCTTGCTTTCATCGAAAGAAAATCGATTTTTTAGCCAAAATTCGGAAATTTTTAAAATTCAAAGTGATACAGCATGATCAATTTTTTCCCGATTTAAATAAAATTTACCCTATTTGTAGCTCTATTTATCTTCTTTATAGTGATTACATTTTCCATGGCAAATAAAAATTAGCAACATGGCAATACAATCAACCAAAATTGGGTACTACGTGTACCACTTAAATAAACTCCGTGAATAGCTATTAATATTCACAGAGCCTATTTAAGTGGACAATTTTTGTGCCTAGGATTTTAGACCTGATTTTAAGTATGTCTAATAAAAATATGTCAAAAATATTATTGTTTTTTTTTCTATTAGTTTTAGCTAAAAGCTAAAGCTAAAAGAACAAGCAGCATTTTTGGTTCCAAAAACCATTGTCAATGTGTTGATAACTTTAAATTAGTTAAGTATACTAAACAGCTACTTTAATTTTTACTTAAAAGTAATTTTAACTTTTAAATAGCAATATTTTGTAACATACACTTAATTTTTCCTTAAATGGTTACTATAAAGTAATAAACATTTAAGTAAAACTTGGTTGCCCCCAAGAAGACTTTGCAACTTTAAAAAAGGTGTTATTAGTAAAAAAACTTTCAAGTAAATTTAATTTGTAGCAGTTACTTTCGGTTGCTACCTAAAGATTACATTATAATTATTTTTACTTTGTAGTCCCTTTGTAAGTTAAAATCTCGAAACTGGAACATGAGTTAAAAACTACAAAGTTAATAACTTAAAAGTTATTATTTTAGTATTTGGAACGTTTATGGTACCAACCAAAACAACCGTAAAGTGGAAAAAACTTTAAGTAGCGATAACTACTTCAAAGGAAAATGCTTCTTATCGGCCATTTTTACTGTACAGTACCACGTGGTTATGTAAATAATAAAATATTTTAATTGTTTGTTTATGGTTGTTTACTTTTTAATAAATAGTAATTTTGTTGGTAATAGACGGTATTAATAATAAATATTAAGATTTTTTTATTTATAAACATTATTAAATAAATAATTTGTTTATACTTAAATATTGATGAGGCGCATTTATTTTAAAAAAACTAAATTCATAAGTTCAACAGTAAAATTTAAAGGGTTCATAAATTTACCTGCCTAATTAAACATTATATTGTTATTCTGGAAGTACATATTTAATAAACGACGACATTGAAAATCCAAGTCCGTATACGGACCACTATAGTGGTTCCATTTAAAAAAGGAGGGATAGTATAATCTAATATAAGTTTGACAAAGACAGTTAATATAGAAGTAAAAACAAATAAATAAAAGTAATTATAACGCTCTAGCAACATTGGAAAGTTCTAGTAACGTAGCAGCTACATTCCAAATAGTAGCAGGGTTTATAGCTAGTGACATATTTGTTACCTTTTTGGAACTCAATAATTGTTCCCCACTTTAATCGTAACTTAGTAATAAAAAAGTTATATAAAGAGACCGGCGACTGTCGCAAAACACTTTTAAGTTTCTTCAATAGTCCCATATACGTAACAAATACTTAAATTGTTGGGAGTGTAAGAGAGTATGAGTAGAGTATCTGCTGCTGCTCTCAATACTATAGTATTGTATGATAGTATACTATCATACAATCTGCCGTGCTAAGCTTAACCCCCGTATCTGCAATATTAGATAATAAAGGACAAAAGATAGTTTTTATTGTTTTTAACAATGAAAATGATCTTTTATTTAATATTGCAGATACGGGGGTTTAGCTTAGCACGGCAGCACTATAAAGTAGATAAATAGAGCTACAAATAGGGTAAATTTTATTTAAATCGGACAAAAATGTATCATGCTGTATCACTTTGAATTTTAAAAATATCCGAATTTTGGCTAAAAAATCGATTTTCTTTCGATGAAAGCAAGATTTCTATAGAGAATGACATTATCAACCCAGACAGCAATATGACGTCTTAATTAAATCTGCATAAGTTCTATTTTATGATTTGGACATCAAATACAACATCAAAAAGAAGTTTTTAAGAAGTTCTTAAGACTTCAAATGCGCCACCTATTGAACTAATCAAGACTTCTCAAAAAAGAACTTTTGAGGAACCCTTTTCTTTGACTTCGCAATTAAGCATTTTAAAGAGTCCTACTGTATAAACTTATAAAAAGACTTGTTTAGAATTTTCCGTTTGGATATAGAAGTACTAATAGGGTACTGATGAAGAAATTGCATACTGGATCGTTGCTTATTTTGACATGTCAAGTTTATTTTATTAATTTTATTAATTTGTTAAATTAATTTTATTAAAATCATTTTAATAATTTGCTCGTATTCGCTTATTTTAGGAATTGCGATTACTTCGTCCAACTTTTGTTTAAATTCAAGCGTGCTCTTCACCGGCACCGATAGACGGCCTGTTTCGCTCTTTTGGAGCTCGTCAGTATCCGGTAGCCGTTTACCTAGGTCTAAGACCGTTTGGTATGGAGCACGCTCCAAATTCTACTTCGCCGCTTCTTATATCAAACACAAGCAGTTACAGCGGTGAGAAGAAAGTAATCGCATTAAAATGTCATAAATGTGACGTCTCCATGTTGACTTGTAAAAGAGTTAATAGTATGTTTTCAATTGGAAGTAAGAAAAAAGAATACTCTGTAAGCTCAAAATAAATTGTTCAAAAAGAGGTCAAGAAAAGATCTTCATTTGTACGTAAAAAAATTGACCTTATTTATGAGTTCATTAACAGCTCAGAATTCTGAGCTCATAAAAAGGAGCTGTTTAAGACGTCATGTTAGAACTTCTACACGAAGTTATTTAAAAGACTTCATACTGAAATCTTTCTGAATTGGATGCTGACTGGGAATGTATATGGTATTTTTTTTAGTTTCATAAAGACCCATAGCATTATTACCAACTATCCTTGCTTAAATTAGAAGTTTAAAAAAATATATATAAGAATTTGAATGTGCGCATATCGAAAAAAATGGTTTTTATTCTACATCACAAAAACAAGAGCTGATTGAGCAAAATTATGTTCATTTTTGGATTCAGCGTACCCAAATTCTCTTAATAAGTTGTTGGTTGCCATGCACCACACAGAAATTTTATTTTTGTCGGCCTGTGTTATTAATTAATTATCGCTGTGGCTCCCGGCGGTTCAGTCCCGAGTTACGTTATAATTTTAAGATTTGTTGTTACGATAAAACTAAAACAAACCAACCCAAACCGTCAGTCGGGATCGAACTTAAGTCCCGCCTCGGGACGGGAACCACTTCGATTATTTATTAATAATAATTTAATTTTTGTATCCCAATTTAAAGAACAATTTATTTTATTTATACATAATTCACATATTACATGAGCATAATTATACTGGTTTATGAACCAGTGTAAAATATTATAGAACAATGGTTAAGTAAATTTATAGAAATAAAAAAAGTCTTTTAAAGCCTGATTTATAAATCGCCCTCCTTCCTTCCTTCCTCCCGTAGAAGATGAACAATACAATCCCGTGCGGGTATCTATAAACGGCACTACGGTTTTCGTATTGTTCATTTTTTACGGGAGAAAGGAAGGAAAAATTGAAAGAAAGGCGGCATTAATTTCAGTTAATTTTTATAAAAAAAGATAAAAATGGCAAACTTGAAAATTTAATGGTTTTTCTAAAAAAACTAAAATTTTGTATAAAAATTGATATAGCATATAGAAAAAAAATGTATTTTTTTTCTGAAAAGTACAAAATAAAAAAATCTAAAAAACACGTGCCATTTAGTCAATTTTTAAAAAAGTTATGGGTATTTGAAAAAATTGTAAGAAACATTTTTAGTGGAATACAAAAATAAAAAATTTCAGTCAAATTTAAAGGGGTTGGTCGATTTGGCCTCTTTGTGAAAATTTAAAGAAAATTTAAAAATTTTTATTTGTTGTCAATATATACAAGGGTTCTTTAAAACGCATAAGACATAGTTTGTTTTTCTATAATTAAAAATATTCTAATAGAATCTCTTAAATAAGTTAATTTTAAAATTGTACAAATTAAGCTTTATTTTTAAACAAATTTATATTGGTCAAATGTTAAATACAATGTTTTATATAAATTTTGCATACCACGCGATATCGCGATATATTTATAGTTTTTATTCATCTAAGAGGTCTTTTTTATTTGTATAACTGCCCAACACTCCTGAGTTCATATATAAGAGCTCATAGGTTATTTTTCATGAATTTTCACGTTCTCAGCTCTTAACCGTTAGAATTAAGTACCGCCGCATATGTAATCATTGATTACTAATCAAATAAGCGCAGTGTGAGATCTGAATACAAAGTCTTAATTTTGCCCATGCAAAGCATTTTGGTCCCACAAGACCTTTATTTTGAACGCACGCCTATGCTTATATTATATAATGCTCGTGCGTATGCCCACACCAATTAATTTAAAATTAAGTCACAAAACCATGGTTTCTCTCACTCCATGATCTCAGGTGATACACAATTTAGCAAAATGTATAAAAAATCCCAGCATGAGGTAAGCAGACAAATCTGAACTCAGGGTTGCTGTATATACAGCATATGGGTAGACTTGGAAACATATTATTTTCAGAGAAAAATAAATTACCTTCTATTCCTAATTTTCCATTTGGTAAAATATGGAATCTGGCCTGCTCTATAATTTCAGTTGCGTTTTGGTTTTGAACAGCTAAAGTGATAAGCTGCGTTGCAACTGCTAAATCGTTAGCTCCAAATACCATACGTTTACCGCAAATCACCTCACCATCGGTAAGTATTATTGGTACTCTACTTCTTATTGGTATTCCCTTGTTGTGATCATCAAGAAAATACCCAGCTGATGTAAGTTCTCCTGAACCAAACATGGCATACATACCCCTAAAATAGATTTGAAAATAAATATAATTTTTTGAAATTAACAGGGTTGTTATGTTATGTATTTTCTTACGTTATAAGAGATACGTAATTTTCATCCAAATCCATAACAGCAACATTGGAAGATGTTCCCAGGTGGAAATTAGTTGTAATATTTAAGTCATTGTAACTATTTTCCGTAATATCAGCTACCCTGTATATATATTCAGCACTACTTACTCCAGAGTGTTCTAAATTTTCTATTTTTTCAAGGTTTTTAATTAAAGATGGACCAATTGAAGAACTTCCAGGGACATAAATATCATAATTGTTAAATACAGTCTTAATACTTTGAGCCAGATTTGGTTTATTAGTTAATGTGATGTAACTATAGAGCTCTAAAAAATTTAATAAAAAAAAAATACCATTTGGTTTTTATTTGTGAAATACCATTTTCCGGAATATTTGCAATAGTTTTCAAAGTATTTCCCAATTTTTCCAACACAAGAGCATTTCCAGTTTCCAAAAAACCAAATATATCCTCAGCTTTGGCTGTTTTTATTGCTTGTGCCAATGATTTTTGTACCAGAAATCCATTTCTACAAAAAATTATTTAATTATCCCAAATTATAAAATTCCCATTAATTTCATACTAACTTTGCTAACTCAACAGAAGGTGTTATTAATTTTTTCCACTCTAAACTGCCATAAATCTGGTGTAAATAAGCCAAACCAAGAACCAATCGAGGCAAATGTTCAGAAACAACATTTATTCCACTAAAATCAATAAAAGTAGGAGCAATTCGTGTTCTGTGATTATAGATTAAAATTTGTCCTTCTCTAAAATAAAAAAAATTGCTTTAGGACTTCAAATGTTTGTTTTACATCTTACGCATCCAGTCCAGTGAGATGTGGATTTGTAACAGCTAAACATACAGCACTTGCTATGGCAGCATCTACAGCATTGCCTTTTTCTTTAAGAATGTATGTTCCTATTTTGGAACAGTTAAAGTTGTCAGTGGCCACACTTCCATGGGGAATAACCTGTTACATGAAAAAAGGAAAATTTAAAAATGATTAATTTATTTATTTTCTAAAGCCATCTGCTGCCCTCTTCTGGAATACTGCCACCCAGTTTTACTAAACTGTCGAAAACCAGCCCTAAATAATATTGCAACTGCGGAAACAACAGCCCTAAGAACAATCTCCAAACTCCGCCATCCCCTAAACCCTCTTCACAATCCTCCCAATGGCCTTCTTTATCAAACATTAAAAATCAAAGTTCCAATTCTTGAAAGATTAAAAAATCTTTCAACTAAGTTTGCTGCTAAAGATCACAACATTGAGATACTACCACAATTATGCATCACCAGAGAAGTCGATGAAAATGCCACAAAATTTTCGGAAAAAACAATATTGGAAATAATCTTACAATTGTCCAATAATAATTAGTTTTTTTTGTAGTTTGTAACAGGCTGAAGGATCCCGGTCGATGGCCTTTTGTATATTTTGTATTATATGTTCTGTATTGTACCTACTGAATATGCAATAAAAACTTTATTTATTTATTTATTATTTTCTAAAATATTATTTGGAGTTTGTAGTATTTGTAATATTATTAGCCACAATAATTTTTATTTGAACAAAGGGTGAAAATTATACAAAATAATATGGTATACCAAAATATTTCAATATTGAACAAATATAAAAATATATTTATTATTATATGCTACAATAGAGTGTGTCCATGTTCCGAGGCTAAACATGGGTATCTCGTTAATCTTTAAAGAACTTTTTCCTAATTTTACAAACTATAGGTATAGTTGGTTAAATTAGGAAAAAGTTTTGCATTTTCATGTGGATCAATATTGAACTAAAAAGAAATGTAGGTACTTTATTTTTAGTTTGTAATTTAAATTTAAAAAACTGTTACCAGTTTTCAATTGAAGGCAGGTTTCTATTTAGACATTACCTACTAAGGCAATTTTCAAGGAAAATTTAAATCTGCCAAAAGAGTTTTGATAGCTTTTAAAACTGCCAATATATTATAAGATAAGTACTTAGCCTCAAAAAACGGATACCCCTTATTTAAAAATTAAATTGGTATTGGTAATTTACCTGATAATCCCCATAATAAATTTGTATTAAGAGGGCGAAAGTTATTACCACTGTCAAAGTACCAAATGCAAAATTGATGAATCTAGAACCACCCAGACAATCCTCACTACAAAAACACCAACTTGTTGATCTTGAACCAGACTTTAAAGGGATGTCCTCCCTTAATTCATGAACTAAAAAATAATATAGGGATTAGTCAGGCCCACCCATATACTTAAGTATGCGTAAGTATATGGGCCCACCATGTTTACCTTTCTTTAAAAAGGTTAATTTATGCAATTTTGGATTACCTGAATCATTAATTGTAGACATTTTACGATATATTTTTATTAAGTACACAATTAACTAAAAACATGTTAATATAATGAGGATTTCTTGTACCGTACAATAATAACTGTTGTTGTGTACCACTTTCACATTTCTTATTGGCTGAAGGTAAGGTAAGAAGAAGATAAGGTAAGAGAGGGTATAAGGAATTATGCGAGCAGTAAAGAAAAACGTCTTTATTTTTGGAAAAAATGGGCATACCTACAGTAATTTTTGGGCAGATATACATAAGTTGAGTGTATATATTTTTTATGGTTTTCAAAAGTATTAAAACTGTCCGTATAGTAAAAATAAAATACCCAGGTGTTTTTTTTAACATTTTTTAAATTAACTAAAACACTTTAAATCATAACGGTTTAAAAATATAATTTATATAAACGAAAACTCAACTAAAAACTCTTAAAAGGTTATAAAAGAAAAGGGCAAACTTATAAATTAAGTTTAATCTTGTACGGAGACTATTCCCTTTTTAGCCTTATGGGCTTGTAACACAGCAATAGCTTCTTCAACTTTGGCACGAAGAGAATCCTGGTTTTCGATCATGTGAATGAGCTCGGAATTATCGATCTCCAAAAGCATGCCGGTTATTTTACCAGCCATTTCAGGGTGCAGTTTTTCGACAACACGAAAAAGCCGCTCACCAAGTATCTGCTTTTGATCTTGAGGGTTTGGTGTCAAGAGAGAATTAGAGTTTAGCGGGATGTTATCTCCTCCATTGCCCAAAGCCATGTTTATGGGTCTTATGATGCTGTTTGGGGAGTTGGTGGTATATTTACTATTTGGTCTGGCTGTTGGCTGCTGGCCCGTTATTGGACGGGCATGGAGGGAATTCCTAACATTGTTCACTTGGATGCTATTTCTTGAAGTTGGACGATAAGGCGAATTGGAAATGATCGACATGTTATAGGTTCCATTCGGTCTCATTGCGTTCGGGGCGGACCAACGTGGCGTTGGTCGGATATGATTAATCGGATTGATGTGGTTGAAAAAGCGCGGACCAGTTTGAGCAACCGCCGGGATTAAGAACGGAGGGGTGGTGGTCGGGAATGTAATGCTATGTTGTCTTACTCTCTGCATGTACTGCGTGTTAAGGAAAGCCCTGCGGTCCTCTTTTCTTTGAGCCAAGGCCACGTACAGCGGCTTACTTCCAACCATGCGCCCATTCATTTCGGAAACGGCTTTGGTGGCTTCATCTGGAGAACTGAAGCAGACAAACCCAAATCCTTTGCTTCTTCCATTTTCAGTCATTACTTTGGCTGATGTAATTGTACCAAAAGTTGAAAACTCCTTTCTTAACTTTTCATCATTAAAGGAATCGTCCAAGTTCTTGATATACAAATTTACACCTTGGAAGCGGTTGTAACGTTCAAGTCGTAGTTGTTCATAACGTTTTTTGAGTTCATTGATTCTTTCAGTTTTCTTTTGAGCCCGTCCTACAAAAAGTTTTTCCCCATCAATTTCAGTGCTATTCATCTCCTTTACGGCCCTCTCTGCAGCAGCAGCATCTTCATAGGCTACAAAACCAAAACCCTTGGTAGTGCCATCAATATGCTTCATTACAACACTACTTGTAATAGTGCCAAACTTCGAGAACAAGTTATAAAACTTGTCTTCACTCATGTTTTCATCAAAATTCTTCACATAAATGTTGGTAAAGAGTTTTGCTTTCTCACCAATTGTCTTCTCACGTTCAAGCCTAGGAATGAACTTTCCTACATAAACTTTTTTTTGGTTTAAAAGCATGCCATTAACTTTATTGATGGCAGTATTAGCAGCATCAGTGCTTTCAAAGTGAATAAAACCATAGCCTTTGGAGTAACCATCTTCATCAATTGCTACTTTGCAACTCAAAATATTACCAAACGCAGAAAATGTATCATAAAGCGACTTATTGTCAATATTTTTGTCCAAATTCTTGATAAACACGTTACCAACTCCAGATTTTCTTAAGGCTGGGTCCCTCTGACACCACATGAGGCGAACTGGTTTTCCTTTTAGCAAATCAAAGTTCATTGTGTCCAATGCTCGCTCTGCTTCAGCTGGTTGGTTAAAATTGACGTACCCATATCCAAGGGATTGTTTGGTTCTTGTGTCTCGACATACCCTCAAAGACAAGACTTGCCCAACAGAAGCAAATTTTTCATAAAGCATTGCCTCAGTTACTTCTGCGTCTAAATCTCCTACGTACAAAGATGCCATTGGAACTATAACTCCTTGAGGTAAATTCATAATTTGTTCTTAATTATTAACGATGCTTCAGCTTATCAATATACTTTTAACTATGGATATAACTACTAAAAACACAAATTTTACGAGAAAACTTCTGCGTCAACAAAATGGTACTGTTATTTTTTTACACCCTTGGATACGAAAAAGACAAAAATTTGCATGATGCAACTTGATTTTTGAACGTCAAACAGTCGGAAACATATTTCAAATTTCGTGAATGCGCAATGCGCAGAAGACACTCAACGTACGCCCCCGCGCGGATTTTTTAAACAATTTGCCATGCATGTGTTAAGAACAGGTTAGGAAAACAAAAATAGTTCAAAGTTTGTGACAGACGTCTGTCACGTTAAATAAAATGGGAAAAAAGAGAAAGTTAAAAGATTCCAAGGAAGATGAATTCGAATTTGATCCAGTACCAAAACATTTGGTAGTCGCGCATCTTAAAAATCAAGAAAAACGTTTGATTATAGTTCTTGAAGATGCCCATTTGGAAACTGTAAAGGTAATTATGTTGCAGAGTTTCCTTAGTAAACTGTATATTCTGTTTGTACGCTTTGTAGTTTTTTTAATAATAAATATATTTTATTTAATTTTAGGTGGGAAATAAGTTTGAACTCTTAAACTGTGATGACCATGCTCATATTTTAAAGAGCAACAATAGAGATGCTGGTTCTTGCAGACCTGATATAACACATCAATGTTTATTAATGCTTTTAGACAGTCCCTTGAATCGAGCAGGTTTACTTCAAGTTTACGTCCATACACATAATAATGTTTTAATTGAAATAAATCCCCAAACAAGAATACCAAGAACATTTAAACGCTTTGCAGGATTAATGGGTAAATTATTGTTACCAAATTATGTTTTAGTTAATTTAATGTGTACCTTTTAGTTCAACTTCTTCATAAATTTTCAATAAGAGCAGAAAGTGGACCAAAACTGCTAAAAGTAATCAAAAACCCAATAACAGATCATTTACCTGTTGGTGTACACAAAATAGCTATGTCATTTTCTTCAAAGAAGGTAGAAAGTTGTAGAGAATTGGTTCCTAATGATGAAGAACCAATTGCAATAGTTGTTGGAGCAATGGCTAGAGGAAGTGTGAATGTTGATTATGCAGAGGAAACAATTTCTATAAGTAATTATCCATTATCAGCTGCACTTACCTGTACGAAATTGTGCTCAGCCTTTGAAGAAGTTTGGAAAGTTGTTTAGCTCTTATAACATCTATAGGTTATAATTATTTAATTATTTGATCTTTTTAATAATTATTTTTAATAAAGACAAACTAAAGTTTATAAACTTTGTTTTATTTAAAATGTATATGCATATTTATGTAAGTTATATGTAGGTATTTCAGGATTTTTATTAGGTATGTAAGTTATATGTATTTCGGGATTTTATTAGGTATGTAATAGAACCAAGTTTCAATATTAATATTATTGCCTAGAAATGTTTAATGAAAAAAAATACATAGCCTATAAAAGACAGTAGACAACATAATGGTTTCAAAATTTAACCAAATTATTATTTACCTGCTTTAATGTTATGTAGCACTTACCTGTGTATAAATAAAAACTAATACAAAATTAATTATAACTAATTTATACCTACATACCATTATGATTTTTATCTAACCAGGTAAAGCCGAGTAATTATAATTTTAAATGTAAAATTATTAAAAAAATTATAACAAAAGCACTGGCGATATTTTAAAATTCGAAATAAAAATCGAGGCAGAATTTGGCTAAAATTAAGCAACCCGCGCATTATTTGTTTGACATTAAATGCGCATGTCAAAATTTCAGTCATGCGCATTTTGGAAATTAATATTTTCTGCACAAAAATATGCTAAAATTTTATCACGTTACGTAAATTATTCTCCAAAAATTATTATTTTTTAAGAGAAAAAAATTATTATTTTATTAAATTTAAATGTTTATATATAAAACAAAACACTAAATTTATAACTTAAGTCAAAACGAGAAATTTACATTTTAACCATTAAAAATATCAGAAAAATTGTAATCCAAAAAAACAGGACTGAAAAAATTAATTGGTAAAGTAATTTTTCGAATAATTAATTTTTGTAAAATTGGGACCTCGAAAGCTTCCTTTAGATAGCCATTTGTATGACCTACAATGGACAGCATACGAAATAATCCAATGACATTCATTTTAATTTAGGACATCAAGAGAAAATTATTGTATATTTATATAAAAACTGTTTTTAGATTAATTGGTTTAACAATATTTCTTCATTTTTTAACGCAAAATTCGATTTAAAACGGGCTTTGTCAGGCTGTCAAAAGTGGCCGTGCCTACTTTGGCCGCCATCACGGCAGTATGTGCAAAGCTTGGCAAGCGGGTTTGTGGTAAGTGGAGTGTATGTTGTGTGGCTCCGTATTTTCTGCGATTTCTCATGTGGATTATTCGTCAAAATACGCAGGTAATGTTGTTTTAGTGTCTTAAAGTATTGTTTTTAAGTGAGAATAGTTATTTGCCCCATAAACCGAAAAATAAACTCAATAAAGTGAAAAATTAACTAAGCTTCTATCCAAACCCTGAAGTGTATAACCGCCATGTTGTAAAATCTGTGGAGAAATGCATTTCTCTTAATTAAAATACGCTTTTTCTGGAAATATCCTTTCGAAAGGTGTATTTTTCATATGTGTTTTGTGAAAATGGTAATATTTTGCGAGTTTCCCGCGTTCTTCTATCAAAACCAAAACCAGTAATCATGTAAAGCGTCGGTTGTCTTTCTGCTAAGGTATACAACCGCGGGACCCCAAGGTCCTTTTTCTTTGATTATTTATCAAAAACTATTGATATATTATCTTTTTATCTTGATATAAGTGTTCATTAACACAAATTTGTTTGTTTACTTTCATTTTTACATATAAAAAATGTTGTTTGGGTAATTTTATTAACCTTATACCTACCTAGTTAAAATAAGTTTTATTTACTAATAAATTAAAGAAAATATAAAAGGGCGTGTGGCGTTAGTGTAAACAAAACTAACTATTGTTGACTAAAAAATCCTTGAATGTGATAAATAATCCAGGCTAAATGTAGATATTATTTTTATTTATTTGTTTAACTATTTAAAATATAATATATGCACTATACCCACCCCAAAATAAAACAATAAAGTCTATGTTTATGCATTATTCAGTTAGTAGGATATGGGTTAATTTATTTTAAAAAATTATTGAATTCATTAGATAAAACAAAATACTGATTTGGGATATGGCAAAATACAACCTCATCTCCTATAAACTGGATTTGTAGGCCCAGGTAACATATTTCCAAATTAGTTGTTGCTCTAACTTAAATCTGAAGGGAACGGCAAAAAAAAATTGAGTTGGAGAAATACCAATTTGGGTTATGGAAATATTTTAGGGGACATCCATTAATCCAATGAGACAAAAATGTGGGAAGGGGTCCAGCAAAATCTCTCCAAATCTCATTTTAAGGGAGGAGTGGTCATTAAAAATCTTACGTTAACTTTTGAGTTTAAAAAATATGTACCTACCTATTCAAATTTCTTAAAAAAATAATCTTTTTTTTTCATGTTGTCTGTAAAGAAAGTTTAATGGCTAAAATCTCACGTGAGGGGTTGGGGGGGTCTACCACATTTCACCAAATCTCACCAAGGGGAATGGGGTCCAAATTATCAGAAAAATGCTTCACATAATTAATGGATGTCCCCTAAAGAACTTCAAATAAGGGATTTAAATACATGTAAAATTGTATAAAACTTAATGTTTTAAACATCAGTGTTTATAAAAAAAATTAAGAAGTTGGAGTTAGGGAAGTTTCACTGTACACTATTTCTAGAAATGTCCTTTTTAAGGGATGCATTTTGTAAAAATAGTAGGTATTATTTTGCCATTTTATCGCGCTTTAAAACCTGTAATTGTGTAATGAGCTTCTCTGATATAGTTTGGCACCTTTTTCTTTAAACCATTTAGGTATAATTTGTAAATAAAATTATAACACAGTTTTCTTGATATTGGTGCGTTTTTTTATATTTCCTTAAATTTTTATATATAAAAATGTGCCATTTTGATTCCAATTTTATTAATTAAGTTTTTTTGGTTACAGACACAAGATACAATGCGTTTTACTTCCTAATATGAGATCCCTTAGAATGGGATATCAATTGCATCTCCTAAATAATCGAACCAGCTGATTGGTAGGCCCAGGTCACATATTTATTTTAAGTTAATTGGTAAGTGCAAACTTTTGGTTAGTGCTTGTTTTTATGTACTAATTAGATTAATCAGCAAATAATACCAATCCAGTTTGGGGAATTATTTAATTTTATCATATTTAAATATAAATTTTCTTACTATCAATACGTTTCAGTAAATATTTCTAATACTCAGTCAATTTTTTAGAAAATAAAGTGACAAAATGCAGCAAGTTATGGCTCCCACTCTAAATAATATGGTGAGAAGATTTGTATTTTTTTACTGTTAACATTATTTATTCCTTAAACAAGCAACTGGTTTTTAAAATAATTCATTATAGGGCGCAAACATGAATGATACAAGAGAAGCACCACCCCGTAATGATACTCCAGTGGATCCAATCAATGGGGTGGTTCAGCCTCTTGTTAACCCAGCTCCGGAAAGGCCAGGTCGTGTCACTAATCAGCTCCAATTTCTACAAAAAACTGTGCTTAAGGCTGTCAGCAAACATCAATTTGCATGGCCTTTTGCAGCACCTGTTGATGCTAAAAAACTCAATTTGCCTGTAAGCATTAATTTTACATTTTTTGTATTAAGTTTGGTTAACATATGTTTTTTTAGGACTACCATAAAATAATTAAACAACCTATGGACCTGGGAACAATAAAAAAGAGACTGGATAACAACTACTATTGGTCAGGCAAAGAATGCATACAAGATTTTAACACAATGTTTTCAAACTGTTATGTGTACAATAAACCAGGTGAAGATGTGGTGGTTATGGCACAAACTTTGGAGAAAGTATTTCTTACCAAAGTAGCAGATATACCCAAGGATGAAGTAGTTGTGGAACCACCAGCAAAAGGTGGCAAGGGCAAAAAGGGAAGAACAAGTAGTGGGTCAGGAACCGGTGGAGCTACACCCACAGCAGGGAGAGGAAGACCTCCAGGTGCTGTCTCTTCAACTAGCGCGACTCCAGTGGCAACAACAACAGGTAGGTCTTGCAAATTTTAAAAACAGTATAAACTTAGTGTGTTTTGGTGTGTAACTTAAGTGGTTGTTCTGATAATTTGCAGGATCATCAGGTCTACCACTAGGCACACAAGCTCCCACCACAGTTCCTGGCAGTACTGCCACAACAACAATCACACCTGCATCGACACACAGCTCTCTTCCTCCCCAACCAATATCACAGAATTACCACTCAAATTCCTTAGACCCCTTATCAACGTCTGTTTTACCAGGCAGTGTTGTACCCCCTTCACAACCTGCAAAGTCAAAAAAAGGAGTTAAAAGAAAGGCTGATACTACAACGCCGACGGCTAACGCTTACGACTACAACCCACCGTTGGAATCAAAATCGGCCAAAATAATAAACAGGAGGGAGTCAGGAAGACAGATTAAAAAACCGATCAGGCCTGAACTGGACGGTCTAGTACCATACAACCAGGCCACCATTTCCCCAATGACCAATATAAATACCGCCACACCTCAGCATGCTGCGTTGAAGACGAAAGAGAAACTCAGCGAAGCCTTAAAAGCGTGCAATGAAATTTTAAAGGAACTCTTCTCCAAAAAACATTCAGTAAGTTCAAATTTCACCAAAATTCACACAAATCAACGGCCAAATTTAAAAGTCTAGAAATAAGCCTTTAAAGTATAATTAATTTCAATAACTCAAGATCTAACGGATCAGGGTGGCCATTTCCTGGAAAACCTGGAAATGTCGGGGAAATTTTCCCAAAATCAGGGAATTAATGCTCATTTATCTTCATTTTATATCAACCTAATTTTGCCAGATGAGATGCTATCACATGAAATTTATTATCTAAGATGTCTGACGAACAATGCCGAATTTTTCGGATTATGTCTAGGACCTAAAACTGTCTCTTCCATCTTTTTAAGATTTAAATAAGTTAAATTTTTCTAATAAAATATACCTACTAAATTCATTTTAACCCCCACATAGCTAGGAAATTAAAAAAAAAATACTTGTCCACCCTTTTTATACAAGATTGCATAAATGATGATAAATATTTTTTTCTTGCATAAAATTTAACCAAATATTAGTGTCCTATTTAATATAAGACTTTTTATTTATGATTACTAGAGCTAACTAAACAATTTGTTATTAATATCTTATTAACAAATAAAGTGTTTTTAAAAATCTGATTTTGGTTTCGGCCGAAACTAGAAGAGGAGCCGAAAATTCGGTTACGGTTTCGGTTTCAATGAAAATCGTGTTTTTGTGGGACACTACCAAATATATATTTACAGAGCTACGGATGGCCATTTTATCAGCCAGTGGATGCCCAGCTATTGGGCTTGCACGATTATCACGACATTATCCGAAAGCCTATGGACTTGGGCACTGTTAAACAAAAAATGGACAACCGCGAGTACCGTACCGCGCAAGAGTTTGCCGGCGACGTGAGACTGATATTCACAAACTGTTACAAGTACAACCCCTCGGATCACGATGTCGTGGCCATGGCACGAAAGCTGCAGGATGTATTTGAAGTCAAGTAAGAAGAGGATGACGAAATGATTGGATACTGTTTTAATAAATTGCGTTTTTTCCTTTTCAGATTCGCCAAAATTCCAGAAGAACCAGTTAATAGGATAGGTGGCCCACCCGTCAAGTCCGAGTCCAGTTCGTCTGGCTCCAGCTCGGAATCTTCGAGCGAAACAGAGGATTCCGAGGAAGAAAGGCGGAACAAACAGCTCAAGTCTCTGGAAAAAGAGGTAAGTACTTTTCAAGGGATTTGCAATTTAAAAAATGTAGTACTAATGATGTAAAAAAACGTTGTGGCCTACAGGAGAGATAATGGAATATAACTAATAAATAATAATAATATTAATAAATAATCTTATAGTACCTATTTACAGAGCTCATGATTTAGTTAATTTTCTTATTATTTAGTAAAAAAACAATACAATACAATAATAGAAAATAGTATGTGGCAACATCATGCTCTGATTTGAGCATTAATTTGTTTTGACTACAGCCCAGCTATTTTTATTTACTAAAATGTATTGTTTTTTAGTAAGAAAATTAACTAAATCATAAACTCTGTAAATACGAGGATGGTTCGGAAACTACGTGGCCTAACACATAAATGGCGCGAATTTGGAAGAATCTTCTTTACCATTTTATGAAATCATCTTTTAATAGGTTAAATATAATACTACAAAGTGATCTGTCAATTAGTCTGTTTTTGACAGTACGCCAAAGTGAACGTCTCGTGTAATTTTGTAAACAAAGGAAAAATTGAATTGCAAGCACTGATAAAGTACTTCAATTTAAAAGGCTTAACACCAACCGAAATTAAAGCAGAGCTGGATTTAACACTATTTGAGTCCGCTTCTTCGTTTTTAATGGTTAAAAACTGGGTTGCCGAATTTAAACGTGATCGTACGAGTACAAATGATGAACCCCGTAGTGGACGTCCAAAAACGGCTACTCTCCCGGATATTATTGAAAAAGTGCACCATATCGTATTGAATGACCGTCGAGTAAAAGTGCGCAAGATAGCAGACATAAGGGGTATCTCAAATGACAGTGTGCACAGAATTTTAACCGAAGAATTGGAAATGAAAAAATACTTGGCGCGTTGGGTGCCGCGATTGCTTGCACCGCGGTGCACCGGTGCAAAAACTGAATCGTTTGAGTGTGTCTCGCGACCTTTTGAGACATTTTCGCCACGATCCAAAGGAGTTTTTGCGTCGTTTAATAACCGTCGATGAAACCTGGGTCCACCATTGTACTCCCCAAAACCAAATAACAGTCCAAACAATGCTTTATATAGCTATTTCGAGAGGACTTGGATTCATCGGCCTACAAGGAAGGCATTGCTAATTTAGAATATCATTGGGATAAGTGTGTTAAGGGAGCTGGAGACTAAATTGAAAAATAAAATGTTTTTTGTCCAAAAAAATTTGCGTTTTCTTGGTTAGGCCACGTAGTTACCGAACGATCCTCGTACAAGATTATTTATTAATAGAGAAGGATGAGCACTTTCAAAAGCGCTCATAAATGCACATAAATGCTCGAGCATTTACCAAAGTGCTCGATATGTGAATTTGGCGCCAAAACTAAAGAGCGAGGTTATAAATTAACCAACAAATAACTACTGTTTACATCAGAACATGTGCGGGCCACAAAAGTGGTGCAGGTTTATCCAATTCCAAAATGGTTTACTTAACTCTATTTTGTTGGATTTTTTTTTTTATAAATTTTATATTTTTCAGTTATTTTTAAGGTTTATAACAAATAAAAGAAAACTACTTATGAGATTAAAAATCAACCTGACAACTATGGTTGCATTCCATTCTCTCCATATTTTTAATAAAATACTTGCTCAGGGTGTCATGTAATAAGTTGCCATCTTTTAATGGGATGATTGTTTATGCCAAAGTAAGCAAGTGTTTCCTCTTATCACTTTTGCATCAGTGGTTCTGTTTTTAAATAAAAAAAAAATCACTTTGGCGTGAACCATAGATAACAAAGCCGTGAGGGATGACAACTTATAACATGACACCTTGTGTCTATATAACCCTCAAAACCTTTGAATAAGAAACCTCAGGAAAGACCCTGCCGAATCTCGTTAATGTTATAAATTTACAGATTACAGTTTGTGTTTGTTTATTTACCTGTTTTTGGTTTGTTTAATAGCGTTTTTTTGCCACCTTTCAAAGAATTAAATGTTATATCTGGCGGAAGCGATAGTCCTCCATTTGTGGCGACCAATTGGTTAGCCCCCTGTGCTGTCAGCTATTTTCTATCATTTACTCTTCTTCTTTTTTTTGTATTTGTTGGCCTCGGTTAGGATGCAACCATTATCGACCAGTGGTTTTGTGTTCCTTCTAATCCAGGGTATATTCTTTCTAATCCGGGGTATATTGTAGCAACGTGCTTAAAAGTGGGTTATTAGGAGCGGAATATTGGGTTTATGTCTGACCATGTGAAGCGTGATTTAAGAAAAAGCTATTACTACAGCCTAATGTTAGAATTCTCTAGAAAAGCAACTACAGCTAGTACTACTTCATGGGAAATCGTGGAGAGGTTAATTGGATTAATGGTTACTGATTCTTCTGTAAAGTGTGTTAACGTGGACATTCTAGGAGTTGGTGTTGGATGCTTTGTTCGTTCGCGCCACATTTGCATGCTGGGGCGTCCGCCAATCCTATTCTGTGTAGGTGGGATTTAGTGAGGCAGTGTCCACTTCTTAGTCTCAGAAAAGTTGTTAGAAGAGGTTAATATAAAGGGCCTCTGTAGCTCAGTGGTATGGGAGGAGAAGAATTGGGATAAGTTTTCCTTGAATTTTCTTTTCCATCTTTTCCTCCTTTATGGGTCTCATTAGATCTTACCAGTGGATTCTCGTTTCCGTTAACGTTTCTTGTTTGCTTCCTTGGTTGGCAAGCCTATCCTCCACCTCGTTACCAGTAATTTTTGTATGACTAGGGACCCAGCAGAACTCTACTTTAGCCCCTTTATTCCAGATTTTGCAGTTTGGACCTTGTTTCGTATGTCAGTGCATCTTTTTTAGTAGTGTTGCTGTTGTTACACACTTTTTTTAAGGCTGCCTGGGAGTCTGAAATAATAACAAACTGGTTTTTTCCCGTTGGGTTTAGTCTTTCTGTCGCTTTTGTCAGTGCTTGGAATATTGCATGACATTCTGCTGTGGCTATGGAAGCATGGTTTGGTAGTCTGGCAGAATACTGGGTTTGGCTAGAGGGACAGTAGACTCCTGATATCATTTACTCCTTCCTGAGGTTTTTTATTGAAAGCTTAAAACCCATGTAACCTGTTATGAATACTTAGGAGCTTTGTTTAATCTTGTTTGTACTAAACAGCTGATAATGATGCAAGAAAAAATGCGCAAATTGGTAGAGGAGAGTTCAAAGCGAAAGAAGGAAAAGAAAAAGCAAAAGGAGAAGGAAAAGCCAAAGAAGACGGTAGCGAACAATAACAGCAGCAGCGGCAACAGTAACAACAGCATTGGTAAGGGGGCACACGGAGGAATGATTAATAAGTCTAACAGCGTTGTAGACAGCGTTGACGACAGCATTGCCAGTGTGGTATCGGGGGCAGATCTCAAGATAGTTGGTGGTGACGCGCATCATGCAACATCAGGAAAGTCCCTCGCTGCGCACCACAACGCTGGCGCCAACGCTGCTGCCGCCCCAACGACTAAATCGGCCAAGAGTAAAGGTAGGACATAAACACGTCAAACTTTAAAGCTAGCTTTCTTTTATTTTTATTTTTTAATGATATACTGTGGTTTACTTTTTTTACACTCGTTTTTGCACTCTTTGTTCTTAAGATTACACCGCTTTTTTAAAACGTGCTTTACATTTTCCAAACCTAACATTAATTTGAATGACTTGGGGGAGAAGGGGATATGCCCAAAATACCTAAGTTTGTTTTGGCTGAAAAAATATACTTCTAAAAAAAATGAACTATCTAGCTCCACTTCTGTAGAGAAAATCGTGAAAAATCTCCATGAACATTATGCAATAGTATTTCTTTCTATTATCATTAGGAAAGACAAATTGTGCTAAAAAAAATAACCTTGGAGTATAAGCTTGATTGATCAAGGAAAAGGGTAATAGAGATTAAAGACTCTCTAAATGCTTTTTTCATCTAGGCAATAGTAAATAATCGATTTATATGACCCGTTTAATTTTTATTTTTTACATGTAAATAAATTGTATGGCCAGAATACCAAAATAACAAAAAACGTTCATATTGTTATTATTTGTCAATTTCGAGTTACTGTTTGGAGATAAAATAATAATAAAAACGTTATTCGTTATTTCGGTATTCTGGCCATACAATTTTGATACAAGTAGAAAATAAGAATTAAACAGGTTAAATAAATTGATTTTTTATTATTCCCCACATAAAAACCATTTCGAGACTCTTTTCCTTAATTGATCAAGCTTATACTTTAGATTACATAAAGCATAAAGTTATTAGAAAATGATTTTTTAAGACTTTCTCCTCAAAAGTGGATTTTGGCAGGCTTTTTTGGTAAGCAAGAAAGCTTATCTTTTGAGGAGTTAATTTTATCAAATTCAAATTTTGTTGACCAAAACAAGTTTTTCAGGGGATATCCCATAGGAAAATAATTTTTTTTATTCTGAAACACTAATGTACCTATGTATTAATAAGGTTGGTTATTTATTGATAAGGACTTAAAAATAAAACTTAATGTACTGTTGTTTTTTACATTTTAAATAAAATAATGTGACTTTTCTCCTTTTTGCCTTAAATTAACTCATACTATTTTTGGTTATAAATGGAAATTGAAAGATAAATAATACATTTATTAAGTTTTAATTAAATTACATTGAGCATATTATTAACTATGGAGCTTAAATTTATTATTTAAAAATGTATGGCTTATCGTCTTATTGCCTAGAAAATATTAGAATATATTTTCACAAAAAAACATTTGCAAACTATTACGCCATTAATGGTCTAATATTATGGGTATATTTGGTAAAAAAACGGATAGGTATCGTGTTTAGATAGTTTTCGCCAACATTTGACTGAACAACAATTGTTAAGTTTATTTTACTTCAAACTTTAATGCTATATGAGTCGTTTTGTTTGGAAATTTATGGTTTATTATTTTATTGACTTGCATGAATGAATGAGTTTTATTAATCTTCTTAAATATTGTGACTGATATTTACCAATTTATATTTAGATTTTTTAAAATAGTCAGTTATAAAATTTGAGAATTTGATGTGCATTTTATATTTAAATGGAAAGTGACTAAACAATTTTCCGTTAAATTAAATGGTGAATGTGTAACTAGACGCATAGCTATATAGTTTGACTTGTTGGTTCCTTACTTTTTCTCTATAGCATTTGGGTATATTTGTCAGTAGCCAGTAGTAATTACATTTATGTCGATATTTCTTGGTAATAAGTAGTAGATATTTATTGTAAAACTCTGTAAAATAAGGAAAAATCCTCGACGAAATCCCAAAAACCACGAATATTGTTTGGTTTGCAGGAGTGCGCGGTCCCAAACCCAGCTCGGTGGCTTCCGGTTTCCCTGCTGCGAATCGCAGCAACCGGGCGGCCAAACCTGCGAGCAAAGCCGGCAGAAAGAAGCAACAAGCGGCTCCGGCCCCGCTGGCGTTCGATTCCGAGGATGAAGACAACGCTAAACCGATGTCGTACGACGAGAAGCGACAGCTCTCGTTGGATATCAATAAGCTGCCTGGTAAGTACCTAAAACACGTTAAAATTGTAGAGTTGGGCGTCACTATCATAAATGACTTTTTATTTTTTGCCAAGTGGCCTCGAAGGGCATTCTTTTGAAGTGAAACTTCTTTGCGGATGGGGTTAACCAAACTGTTAAAAAAGATTAAACGAAAACGGCATGCGCGCTTGCCTGCGTCGTATTAGAATTTTCGGACAAAATTGCCACAGTAGCACACATTTAAAACATGGTGGACCAATTTTCACAGTAGTTCAAAATTAAAAATGGTTGGACATGCAAATTCGCAAAGTAGTTCAAATTTAAAAAAATAGTAGGACCAAATTTATGTTGATGCTGGAAGCTACTTTTCTAGCGTCCAGATCCGTCACGTGATCAAAATCCGACGCTTGAAAATTAGCCGCTGAAATGTATCGTCAATACCAGGGTGGCCCTTAAACAATTTTTTGGGGCACCCATTTAAACTGTCCCAAGTCACACACAGAGAAATAATCTGGCCAACATTTTTTATAATGATATTAACCACTTTTTACCTTCAAAATCCCGATTTTCCGTAATATTTATTGACACAAGAAAAAATTGATGACATGCAACAATATATGACATATTTTTGTAGTAAATTTAACGCTCTAGAAAAAATGGTCTTTTATGTTTTTTTTCCTAAAACCGTCCATTTAAGGGATATCAGAGGTCAAAATTTGAAATAAATCAAAATAAAATTTGTCATTATCTTTTTTTTTGTGGCTTACTTGTGTATCATCTAAATTTTTTGTTTACAGTATAAAAACAATTTTGAAAAAAAAATCCTTAATGTCGTTTAACCCTGCCTTAATGATGATACTTATATTTTAAACTTTGACCTTCGATATCATTTAAATGAATGGTTCTACAAAAAAACGTAAAATACCTTTTTTGTAGAGCGTAAAATTTTATTTATTAGCCAGTTATGCATTTATTCTTATGTTAATATGAATCAAAAAATATATTTTGTTCAGATTATGTTTCTGTGCCCCAAAAAAAAATTGTTTTAAGAACCACCCTAGTCAATATGCTTCGATTTTGCTCGACGCTCAAATCGAACGGCAACAGTCGGCGATGACCGCGAAAGCAAAGATTGAATTATTGATTTATCACGGATTGAATTTTACAATAATTAATAGACCGTTATTGTTACTATGATATTTTTTAATGTAAAGTTTGTTTTTATTTCAAAAAATGATTTTTGTTAATAAAACCTCGCAATTAATCCCTTTAAAAAAACTAACATTAATAAGTCAATAAATTATTATGAATGTCTGGAATATGATTCTTGGCAGGCTTTAATGTTATCAGTAATCCTTAAATTATTACCGGATCTGTGGTCATTTTTTTTCATATTTCTTTTTACTCTACTGCTATTTTTTAAACATTTATATGATGGCGAAAGGAGTAGAGCAAAAACAGTGTCAAAGCAAAAAGCTAAATTCGTTTTAGCTTCTTGCTACTTAATTTTTGACGCTAAAAGTCACGTAAGATTCAATTTCAGGAATTAAAATAGTTTAAAAACTCAAAATCTTTAAAGCTTAAAAGCTACTTGATGATTAAAAACTCAAAATCTTTAAAGCTTAAAAGCTACTTGATGATTATCGAATAATTAAAAACAAAACAAGAATTTAATTGTCCAAAAGAAGTATCACTTCAACTGTGTATTTTTTTGTAATTTTTAAGGCACCAAAATGACAAGCAACTAATTTGTTCTACCTTATTGAGATTTTAAGACCTAATTTACTAAACTTAATAAAAAATTAGGACTGGCTTCAAAAAAGAGCAAAATAAAACTGATTTAAATGTTATTGGTGCGCGTCAAATAAATTTCATTTCTATAAAAATACCAATGTTACCTGTCATTTGCCAACTCTATTTAAATAAAAAAATTTCTCACAACACTTTGTTTCTTTTATACTGCCAAAAAACCCATTGATATAGAAAAACGTACTTTTGTTTCAGGCGACAAATTAGGAAAAGTTGTACATATAATCCAGTCTCGCGAGCCATCTCTGAGGGATTCGAATCCGGATGAGATCGAAATCGATTTCGAAACGTTGAAGCCTTCGACGTTGCGTGAGCTCGAGAGCTATGTCGCATCGTGCCTACGTAAAAAGCCACGTAAGCCCTACTGTAAGTTCCGTTACTTAACGTCGCCAAAACGGTCGGCTAGCAACACTCAATTATAAGTATAGCCACACCAGACCACCTGATTTGCTAACAATTCCTAAACAAAAGCTTAAAACTTTAGATTAAAAAGTGAGGAGGTATAGTTTTTAATTCACGCTATATTGCATTCATCATTACATTTTCTTCTTCCTTTTTTTTAATCTAAGGCGCATTTGTTTAAGAATGTTATCATAAGGCGTATGTAATTGGAACTACACATTTCTAAGCATGGTAGACGTTGCTGGTATCATATCATGCTGGGTTAACTTTGTTACAAGTTTATAACCAGCTTTATGGGATTTGGTTATGTTTGTGTGTTTCCTACAAGTGTAATATTTTTATAAACATTGTGTTGCCTTGTACTAAACCAACAGCATATCTAGTAAAAATTTGATGAATTTATTTAAAAATAAATTCATTGTATTTTTAGTGTTTCCCAGAAGTCATTGCATTGTTTTACTTTATTTTGCCTTGTACATTTTTACATTTGCAGCTGGGTAACGCTAAAACATTTAGGGCGCATGTTCTACCAATTTGGTGTATTTCTAATTTATTTTATATACACAGTGGCGGATTTACCGATGTTGTAATTTTCTATAGCATGAAGTAAAGCCAAAAGGATAACACCTCACTGAACAGTTTTGTTGTTTCAATTTGGCTCTATTAATCCTGCATATTGAAGATTTTTATAATTTAACTGTAAAAGAGCCCTGCTGAAAAAAACTGATCGAAATTTGATTAGGTTCGAAATTCCCGATACTTTGATCAGGTTTTTTTTAAATAATGTTATAACAAATAAAATTGTTACTAACATGTGAAGGGGTAAGCAAAACCACTTAAGTGACAAACAATATTTTGCCTGGAACATTTTACCATTAAACAAAACTGCTATTTAAGATACTGAAACTGTACTTAACTTTTTTTTTTATTGTTAGCTATGCTATTTTTATTTTCACCCCTTTATGTGTTATTAATCATTTCAAATTTCCAATCAAATTGAATCGTAAATCCAGATCGGGAGTCGATCAGATCCGATCATGAAAAGAAGAGACAGAAACGTGATCGGATTTGAGCGGTGTCAATATCTCGATCAGATTTTTTCAGTAGGTAGCACCTTTGTAAATAACTTAACTGTAGACAATCTTCAAAATTATATAAAATATAGAATATTATATTTTTGTATAATAAATAAATTTTCATTATTTTTTTTAAATTTGCCCCTGTGTATCTAATTTTGGTTATCTGGTGATAGATTTAATGCTTATTATAAAGCTTCAATAATATTGAAATTCATCTTATCTGCAATGTGATTCAGCGAATTAAATTATTTAAATTATTCACATATACATTCCTTATTAATCATTAAAATAAGTCCAATATTAAAGAAAAATATCAAATTACCCTGATAAAGCTTTATTATGTATGTATGTGACTAACACTTTAAATATTTTAATTTATTATTTAACATTTTTAATATAATAATTTATTATTATTATTATAAAACTGTTGGTTTTTAATTTGTTGAATCAAATATAAAAATGCATGTTAAATTACAAAAACAAAACACATTTTACGACAATTTAATTACTCTTTGCAGATAAGAAAGTGCAAGGTAAATCAAAAGATGAACAAATGGCGGAAAAAAAACAGGAGCTAGAGAAAAGACTATTGGATGTCAATGATAAAATAGGAACTAAAAAGGCACCCAAAAAAGGTAATTTAAAGAAATCATTTTAATATGGCATATAATTAAACCACAAAATATAGGCGTGCATGAACTTTTAATTTTCCCACTGAACACACAATGAGGTCGGGACATGCAATTTTTTAACTGCACATTTAGAATCTACGCATCTACGAATTTGTTATAACAAAATTCTATGTTTCTTAAACAAATTTTGAGTACGCTACAGGTTTTGAAAAACGAAAGATTTAAAACGCCTCGATGACCTTGAAGAAAGCGAGTGACGTCACGGTCTTAAATATAAGACTGTGCATCTCAATTTAAAGCCCGATTGGTTCAAATCACAGTAAATATTAAAATCGGCCACTCACTTATGCCTAACAACGTGAACACTTCCCGTTGTTGGGCGGGGCGGTTGTTTAGAATTTTTATTTTTGCATATACTTAATTCGCAAATCTTGACACGCCTATTATACCACCAATACCATTTATTTTATAACATGTTGACGGCGCGCTACCGAGAGAATTTATTTTTAAGGACAAATTAATAGGAAAAATTGTTTTTTTTAACGAGATGGTTGTTTTTAGTGATTAATCTTTATAATACAAGTTTTTGTTTTACACTGATTTTCGACAACATGTCCCAACCCCATTCGGTCCCCCTAAGGGGATATCCATTAATTACGTGAGGCATTTTTCTGATAAGGGAATGTACCCATACTATGTGTCCTGTTTAGGGGGGAGGGGGTCTTCAAAATACCACGCTTCGTCACAGGGACGTGGAGGGGGGTTTAAGTTTTTGTCACGTAGTCAATATCCTCGCGCTTTTTTGAGCTATAATAAAGTTTTTTAAGTTTTTCTTAATAATATTTTTGTCACTTGTAATTATAGGTCACGCAGCAAGCACCATATGAATAAAGACAAACGAGCAAAATGTTTTTTTTTAATTTTCTGTGCAAAAAATGATTAAAAACCATATTTATGAATTACTACGTGAAAACAAGTGGGGGGAGGGGGTCTTAGCATATACTACGAGTAAAAAATGGGTCACATAGTATGGGTACATTTCCTAATTTGGATCCCACCTGGTGAGATGTGAGATTTTAGCCATTAAACTTTCTTTGAGGACATGTACAAAATTTTTTTTTAACAAATTTGAATTATAATACATATTTTTTAAACTCAAAAGATTTTAAATAAGCCCCCGCTTAAAATGAGATTTGGTGAAATTTTGCTGGACCCCTCCCCCCATTTTTGTCTTATGTAATTAAAGCTCATTCACATCCATTTAATAAGAGTAACTTAACCTAACTTACAATAAGAGTAACTTAACCTAACTTACATGAGAAATTTAAGTTGAAATACATTGAAACCAATGCAGCTCTTTACATTCGTAGAAAACTTATCACACGTAACTTAACGTATTCAAAAACTGGGGCCGGCTCAGCTTAAGGGAATACGTTTTTTACGTGAGCCAAAATTACATGCCCAGTAAAACGATATAGCGCTATCTTGTTGTTTCACTTTTATAGATAGATTCCACCAGTCTACATCAATGTATACATTGCGCGTGCTTGTATATTACGTTCTTTGCGTGTATTAAGTTAATGTAAACATACAACTTAACAGGCGTAGGTTTCTTAAGTTAAGTTAAGTTGCGCTTATTAAGTGGATGTGAATGAGCTTTTAATGGATGTCCCCTTTCTCATCAAAAGACCCAGTTTTTTCTTTCTTGATTCAGTGCGAATATTCTTATGATAAGTTTGTAGGACTTTAATACTTTAATATTTTTACATTTAGTATGTACAAAATTTTACACTAAAAAAATAATAAGAATGATTTTCAATTCTTAAGGACTAAATTCAACGATAAAAAATAGGATGTTTTGTAATTTTTTTTTAAAGGAAAATTAAAAAATAAAATATACATTATGTTACTTTAGCAATAGGTATAATAATTTATTAATTTGTGGAAAACGCTCATAAATGCTCGAGCTTGGATGTAAAGAAGAGAAAAACTAATGTATTTGTTGGTTATGTTATAAGTTATAATCCACCCTTAAAGTTTTGGCGCCAAATTCAAATATCGAGCATCAAATGCTTTAGCATTTTTAAAAGCGCTTGAGAACTTTTAAGCGGTTTTCGATCATTTATGAGCATTTTTAAAAGTGTACAATTGGCGTCCCCGAAATGTGAACGATTTTTGGTTGTCATGGATTTTTTTCATAAAATTAAATCGTTCTATTTTTTTAATAATATTTTAACAAACAGTAATATAAACAATATTACAAATAAATTAACTTTAATTTGGTTTTGTACAACAATATTAAAAAGTAGGTATATAACAAATAAAAATAACATAACAAATTTAACATATTGCTCAAGAAAATTGGTCTTTAAGGACCGGTTTTTCAATCAGTGTTTAAACCTTGGTTCAGGGGAACTTAAATCAGTTAATGAACTCAGTTTACAGTCAAATGAGTTTTTTAATGTTGACTCAACAGCAGTTCTGTTGAACTTAGATCAGCAGTGTCAACGTTAAGTTGGTACAACCAAATTTAGTATACGCCTACATTAATAGTAGTTAAAACTGTCATTTTGACAAAAGAATTTTGTGTTTACTTTTGGAGTTTTGTTTATCTGTGCTGTTTTAAAAGTTCTAATTTGTGCGAAAGGGTGCTTTAAAACAATTTACTATTTTTAAAGAACAATAATTATTATTTATTATGGATAAAAATCATGCTGCCAACTTTACCTATTGAGGAATTATTTGTATGTATTTCGTTTTATAGTATAAAATGAATTTGTCGTTTTTTGTTACATGTGATCAATTTCACTAAAATATATTACATATTCAGTATTTATTTTTATAACTAACCTATTGGTCGGATTTGCAATAACTGGTCTAATTAAATCCACTATCCTACGTACAAAAGGTTTGGAAAACCGAAATCTGGCAAAAAATTCATCATTATTCCACCTTTCAAAATGATTCAGTCTTACCCGTGGCCTGTGCACACGAAGTTAAATATTATTTAGGAATTCGCCAATTTCCTCATCATCCTCACTAACTACCTCAAACATATCCATTGGTTTATTATAACAGCAGATCACAAAACAAGAAATAAACAACGTAATACACAATAAAGCAGAGAAAAATTAAGTTATGTCAAGTTGAACTTCGTTTAAACGGCCAACAGTGACGGTTCATCTTTTGATTTAGTTTAAACAAAATTCAAGCTTGAACTTTGATTGAAAAACGGCATATTTTGTTTGGACTAAGTTCAAATGCTGAACCAAATAAACTATGATTGAAAAACCGGCCCTAAGTGAAATAGCTGCAGATTTAAATGTCTTAAGCTCTTCCCAAGAATTTTCAATAGCATTCCGTAGATCATTTCGGTTTGCTGGCTTAAAAAACTGTGCTGCTGCTCATAAGCTATTTTAATACTTAATTGCAGAGCCATTAGCTGCCACAACACTTTGCAATTTTCTTGGCTTGCACATTATTAGGTAACGGTATGTCTTCATTTTCTTTGGAGATTTTACAACCCCTTGCCTGATATTCTTTTTTGTTCTTGCCAACGTTTCTTAATATAAAATATGCAGCTTTTACTGACATTTCAATCTGCAGCCACTTCACTTAAAGACCAATTTTCTTTTAATTTGGCTATTGTCCTGGACCTCTGAGCCTCAGTTAAGTAGGGTGGTATTTTTGATTTTGCAATTGACAACTATTAGCAAATTTGACATTTACCGACGACACTGATGCAAAGCCCATATTACACGATTAAATTTTGCCGTTCACATTTCGGGGACGCCAATTGTACATCCTTCTCGATCAATAATTAATTTTGCTGATCTTCGCGAACGTGTTTTTAAAAAAGCTTTTGGCGGTGACATAAGTCATAAGAAAACTAGTCTTTTTCATAGCCGTTTTTGAAATAAAAAATTTAAACGCGAGGTGTATTTCGGGCCTAAAAGAAGTCATTTTTATATTTTAAAAAATTCAAAAAATAGGCCTTGAAAAAAACTTATGATCAAGACCAGATAATTGTATAGAGAATATGTGTGCAAAATTTCATAGGAATCGGCCCAGTGGCTCTAGGAAAACCGGCTCTAAAAAAGCACGTTCAGAGTTTTGCCTGTTGGTAGTGGCAAAATCACTATTATATAGTGTTCTTGGGCAGTGAGTTCAGTAAGTACATAAATTGCACTGGCGGACAAAATAAAATGTAATGTTTTCTGCAGGGTAGCCAACAACTATTTCAGAGTAATTTGGGTGCGCTGATTTTAAATATGACCATCAATTTCCTCTTTGTAAAAAAAAGTTTTTCTTTAGATATGCAACCATTCAAATTCGTATATGTAATAAAATACTTTAACCAAAAATCATTGATAATGTAGGTATGGTCCCTAATTAAACTAAAAAATCTGAAATTATACAAATTCATCCCAAATTACGTTTTTAACAAAATAAAATCTTTTCCCAGTAATTGTAAAATAAAAGGTATATTTAATTTTTTTAAGTTTTAAAAAGTTAAACTTAATAAAAATGTATAATTTGTTCAAAGACTCTCCAGCTCGTCAAGCAATCACTGGAGGTAGTGAAATTCCCCATAAGCGAATTTGTTTCAAGCGCATTTCTTCTTGAAAGTTACAATAAAAAATTAATCTAATGCTGTAATAAAAATACCTTTGTGTGTCCAATTGACCATATGCAAGGAATGCGGTCGATGTTGCCAATGGTAAAAAAATAAAATTCTCAATTGGGAACATTCAATTATATTACGTTGGCTACATTGAAATTTTGAATTTCCCGCACGAACTAAATTAATTTCCATCTTTTTTTTTAATAATAATAAATAATAATAAATCCCACATTTGAAATTCGCACCTTAATTTATTATACAACATTGGAACTACCTTCTTTATATCTGGGAACTCCTAGAATGTATGTCAGTTTGTGCGGGAAATTCAAAATTTCAGTGTAGCCAACGTAATTTAATTGAATGTTCCCAATACGGAATTTTATTTTTTTACCATTGGCAACATCGACCGCATTCCTTGCATATGGTCAATTGTTAGCTGTAAGGTTTGTTATATCAAAATGCGATTTTAAAGCGACAAACCACTTGCAAATGGCAAAGATTTTGAAGTTAACAACACTTAAGGCTGCTCCCAGTCAATTTGAAAATTAAAAAGGTTTAATAGTATTTTAAATCGATTTTACACGAAATAGAGAAAACAATTACAAAATTAATTTAAAAAAAACAAGTCTTATACAGGGTATCCCAGAATATGTGGGCAATTTCCCGAATTTAAATAGAACACATAAAAATAATATGACAAGTTCCTATAATTTTTTTCCCTACGGCCGCCCCCTCTACGGAGATACGGTCCCATAACGGTCACCCCTGGAAATCCTTTGCTTTTAAATAACTTTTGACAGGGTTGCCACTCGTCTGGAAAACCTGGAAATGTCAGGGAATTTAAATTTTTTAGAAATGTCAGGGAAATGTCAGGGAATTGGCAAAAAAATCTACAAAGTCAGGGAATTCCTAAGTCGGTCAGGGAATTGGTTATTTATAAATAAAACTGGTCAACAAAATTTTAATTTATTCAAAATATGGCAGCGCTATATGTCAAACTTATCACTATAACCTTAGAAGTCTATATCACGACCAACTATTTTTATGTTTAGGGTGATTAATATTTGATTATTTTGTAAATGGTAAGCATAATTAATGAACTAATTAGTCCTTCAGAGGGGACTTTAAGCCCGCGGTCCGTTCCTACCCCTAACCCGCTCAAGCCATTCAGTTGGATTGGATTGGATTTGTTGGGTGGAGGGTAGCCACATTGTGGCTACATGCACTTAGGCCACAGTTGGCCCTTTGTACTGCCCCCGAGATCCATTTCCCCATTTGTGTTTGCTCAAATTTTTTTTAATCCAGCCATCCAAGTTTCCGAAAGAAATCTAGAAAGACGGCTGGAGAGATGGAGCTAATGTGCCATCTGGGACTTCTTAGAATGTAAGGGTGGAACTAAAAGAGCACTTTTGTATATAAACTTTTGTATAAACTTTTGTAATTAATTAATCAGTAAAAGCATAATTAATAAATTAATTAATTAATCATTAAAAGACTTTGAAAAATCATAGTTCCTGTTGATAAAAAACCGTTTCAAGTCAAATGTTTGATTTGGAAAGTCATAGGCCACATAAAAAGTGCGGGCCATTAAAAAAGGATTTTGGCAACGAATAACACAAAAAAGATGGAAAATACTACTTTCTAAAAATGAATTAGTTAAAAATGACTAATTGTCAAAGCGAAAAAGCAGCCACAAATAATTCTACTCAACAGCAATTTGTATCCCGGATATTTAGCAGTCAATTCCTATGTAAAATTGTCTGCTGAATCCGAATATGTCGTCAAAAGTTATAAAAGTTGGACAGTTTGTAAGATTTAGTCAATTTTCCATATAATATGGAATTAACTATATCTCAAAAACTGCTATGACGGTCTTTTCGGATTTAGGGGACAATTTTACATGAGAATTGGCTGTTAAATGTCCGGGATACAAAGTGCTGTGGACTACAGTTATAACTTATAAGTGACTGCTTTTTCACTTTAAAATATGTCATTTTTGACTAATTCTTTTTTAGAGTATGCTTAAAAAAGTTACAGTTTTACAGGACAATAATATTGCTTTAGAAAATAACCAAAATAAATCAATTTCTTTAATAACAACTCCTGCAAAAAATGATAGAAATGAAATCTTTTTTTTTGTACTATCAAATATTTACTGACAAGACCTGCCACAGACAAAATTTCAGAGGCATTTTTAAAAATTTCATTATTTTTGTTATTTTTAGATTGAACAGAAAATTAATGTAATAAAAACCCAAGAAACAAAAACCTAAATTAAAAATTATCCCGAAAAAATTAGCTACAGAAAATTTTTTGTTTGTTTTTTTTTAATAAGAAGTATTGATTTTTTGTTAATGTTTTTGAATTTTATAAACTTCAATAAAAGTTTAGGTTTTTAATTAATCGTTATAATTCCCCACCAAGAGAAAAATAAATAAATAAATTCAAGTATTACATAAGCTTGATTTTTAATGATAAGCTTTACTTACTTTTGCTGACAAAGGGAAGGGGGGGTTAAAAATTACAAAAATTCTGCTTACTTGAATGGCCCTATACTTAAAATTTTAAAAACCTACATTCAGTCCAGTCCAGTTGAAAAAATCATTGAGGGTCAGGAAACCAAAAAGAAAGCGTCGACACATTTTGTCAGGAAAAATATCAGGGAAGGTTAGGGAATTCCTGGAAAAGTCAGGGAATTTGGTTTAGACAAATCTGTTTGAACTACTGGGTGGAATTTAATAATTTTTTAATATATTGTTTACTAGGAAAGTTTCCTTAAAATGGGCACTTTTAATCATATTTGGCTTATTTAGTTTGTAAGGAAAGTTTCCTTAAAATGGGCACTTTTAATCATATTTGGCTTATTTAGTTTGTCAGGGACCGACTAGCTCTAACAGAGTAATGCTATTTTTTTGACACCCTGTACTATAAAGGCACAACAATAATATTTTACGTCAGCTTAAACCTTGATAAAATGAAAAATGTTTTTGTACAATAGGGTTTTTTGAATTTATTTTTATCTTTTTTGCAATGTTTTGCAATGTCAGTGTCAGTTAAAAATAGAGTGTTTTGAAATTTTCGATCTTTTTTCTCCGTCCGTTATGGGTCAGTATCTCCGTAGGTGGGGCCGTAGGAAAAAAGTTTATACGAACTTGTCATATTATTTTTATGTGTTCTATCTAAATCTGGGAGATTGCCCACACATTCTGGGACACCCTGTATAACCACATTTAGTATAATAGAGTTAAAATTATCTTAAACTGGTTAATTTTATTACTTTATTACGTAACTAAAGGGCTAAGAAAGTAGTTAAAAAAAGGGTAAAATAAAGCTAAAATTACCAAATATTAACGCATTTTTAACCAAAAGATAAATTACCCAAAAATTTAAATTTAAACAACGTTAATCCCATTATTTAATTTCCCACTTATTACAAAATAACGTTATAGTCGAGGTTATAGTACAATATTACTCAAATGAATTAACCACTTGGGATAGCTTTCTAAAATAAGTGTGCCCTGGTGTTTCGTTTATTGTTTGGTTTGTACCAAAACAGCAGACAACAGTACGCAATGAATATCAGCGCCCCTAGTGGTGAAAAAAGAAAACCAAATTTGTGCGATTTAGTGTTCAGGTCTTGTCAATGTCCCCTATTAAGTTCGCACTCCTTGTGTAGGCCACGGTTACGAAGACTAGAGACAGAAGTACAAACTTGTGTGTTTGAAGGCACAGAACAAATACAAACTGCATTGTGCACAAACCCTATTTGATTAGGGCCAATCACAATCAAGTATGACGTAGGACGTTTTCCATGTGTTTGAAATTAAATCGTCCATGGCGCACGGAGAAACTTTATCATTGCAGACGCTTTTTGCCTCATCCCCTCCATATCAGTTTGTACTCGTGTCTCTAGACTAAAATCGCGATTCGCGAATAGCTCGTTTTGGTTAAATGTGGCTCGTTTTTTTTTTGTGCGTTTGAAAAAAAAATTAACCTAGATGCAACGCAGTTTGACTAGGTTTCTAAAATGGACTTGGCAACTTAAGAATGTAAAATTTGTTGTTTTTCCAGAAGAGGCAAACAAGGTGGACCCGACAGGCGCGGGCGGGCCTTCCGGCCGGTTATCGTCCAGTTCGAGCAGTTCCGATTCTGACAGCAGCAGTTCGAGCCTGTCGAGCAGCAGTAGTGACTCCAGCGACAGCGAAGCAGGTTAGCTCTCAATTTCGTCGTCACTCATCCATGGTGACGTTGCGCAGTTGCTCTTTTGCAGATGACATTCGGTTTCCCTTTTATTATATATTTTCTAGGTTCATTAGCAAGATTATTAAGAGTCGCAAAATTACGTTTGTACGCATGTGCGCTGTACGCGTTCGATCGATCGGTCGTGGTCGATAGTAGTCGGCGGAATGAGCTGAAATCGTTGAAAAGATTCGTTTTTATGGTGCAATTGTTCGAGTTTATATCATATATCAAACATTACCTTCAAGATTTTCAAAAATTGCTTTATAGATCAAAGGCTCAAGCATTCCATTTTAAGAAAAATAAAATGATTAAATTAATACAAACTTTATTTGCTTGTCCCAAATTGCACAGAAAGACTAGTACAAAAAAATGTATCGCATTTGTCGTCTACATTCTCTCGCTGAACTAAACTGTACCATATAACTTCGTGAAATTTGTAATTAAAAATAATATAGTTGATTGGATTTAGGGCGTGGCTTTTTAACCGTGCTAATAATATATAGTTTAACTAAATAGATTCTAGTGCCATGCTCGAAAATGATAATAGTACTTGCATATTGAGGCTTTAGTAAGATTTTTATACTACTAAAATTTTATTCACGGACACAGCTTCAATTTGATTAGTGGTTTTTAAAAGAAATATTTTATAATTTGTTTTATTTTTATATTTTAGCCATAATGATCAACAAGATATTATTATTTGATCATAGAGATATTGTATTAGTAGTTTTTATTTATTTATATTACATGTAGAATTCCTTTTATTTTGAAAATCTGAGAGCACTAACATTTGGAGCTGTTTCTATCAGTCTTAAGTATTAAGTAAGTGTATGTGGAACATACATTAATAATCGAATTTTTTCAACTCAGTTGTTTGTTAAATTGTAATAAGTATAGAATGTCGAAAACTGACAAAGTTGGATAAGCAGCGTATTTGATGAGTGTTGAGAAATGGACTCATTAATGTAATTTATACAACATTGTATATATATATATATATATATTATAATAATAATTGTTTACAATTGAAATTGTATTTGTTCCAAGACAAGATTAAGATTGGTAACACTTACCAATGGCACTTGACTTGCTAGGCACCAATAAAGTTGCACGTTTTCCATTATTTATGGCCATATTTCCTTTAATTATTTATGTGTTAAATCATTTAACTTGTCCATATTTGATGGGAATTAATGAAATTTGCAGTTAGAACTAGCAACTTTTTGTATTTGTATTACATATGGTACATTATTTATGCTGGTGCTCTTTTTCATTGTCCACAGAATTTTATTTTACTGCCAGTTTACTACTTTTAAGTGTAAAATATCTTTTAAAGATTTATTTGTAATTTGTGCATTCATGTTGCATAAAATAAAAAATATATACTTGATAAGTATTATTGAGCCTAATCTCTTGTAAAAATGATAATCTGTAGTTTTTCCACTATAAACAAATAATGTCAACAGTCAACTATTTTTTATAATAATAATTATTACTTATATAGAGAATACAATGTCCGGTACAAGTTAATTATTTTGGTGGCAGCATATTGGCTTTAGGTTATTTGTTTAAAGTGGCTATTTAGAGAATAAATAGCCTTGAGTGCATATTGATGTGTGGAGTCTGCCAGTTGCGGACCAACCATACAGGGTCTTACCACAACCATTTTTGGTCGACGGTTTTCGACACCAGGTGATTAGGTGATACGTCGCGCTACATTTAAATGCAGACAATGTGTGTGGCGGCTGATTCGTTTTTGATTCACTCACTTTCAATACCTGTTTAGGCGTGTCAATTCCACCTCTGCATTCACGATCCGAGTACAGAGTTTTTCGACCGCCAAAAACAGTTAATGAAAGCAGACACGGCACGTACTTTACTTTTCTTTCAATATAATAATAATAAGTCTCATTTGATGTGCATACATGCTAGTTTGTCAATTTTATTTATTTATTTTTAATATAAAGTAGTGTGTTTCTCAAAAAGGGGCCCTATTATACATTTTGTTTATCATCCTGTAAGTGCTGTGTCATGTTGGATGTGTTTTGGTTATGGTACTGTATGGTTTAAGTTTGCTGGCCTCCATTCACATTGTTTGCACTCAGGCATTAAAGTATTTTCACTTAATGGCAGTCGACTTATAATTTAGGGGCAAGCCAGGTTAGGTCTCATTTTTTTCAGTTTTGATTACAAATTACAACAGAGCAAGTAGAGTACGAAAGTTGTCCCATATCAAAAAATTATTTTGTGATGCTAATGTATATAATTTTTACATTGTAGTAAAGAAAAAGATTTGTATCTTGTCATTTATTGTTTCATATTTTAATTTTTTATATTGTATTTGTAATTATAAGCTTTTAAGTTCTAAACAGTATGGTTATACATACTTAAGATTCTCACTTATAAATTTTAATTTGCACATTAAATATTGTTCTTTTATACATTTTGTTTCTATGTAATTGAAAAACTTTTAATATAAATATATTTCTATTGTCATTTTAATTTTTATTTTATTTTAACAACAAAGTCTCTTCAAAATGCAACAATTTTTTATACTAGTAAAGAAAATGATATAGTTTATGGAAATTTTCTTGGTTTAAAGAATTATTCCAATTTTGTGTCTTGCCTCTGTGTATTTAGTGTTGCCTCAATTATTTTATTTTGTATTATACTACTTGTGGTATGAAAATAAAATGATAAGGTAAAGATGTTAGCATATACACTGATGTCGAAAATAAATTTAATATATAAAATTTACATTAATCTGTGGTTTAATTGTGGTAAGACCTTTTCACAAAAGCACTCAAGGTTTACTATATGTTTGGTATGACACTTTCTCAGTGAGCAAGTTTTATAGGTACAGGCAAAGGTCAACCTAAAAAGAAAGCCAAAAAATCACCCAACCCTGCAGGAAATACAACGGTGAGTTTTATGTTTTATCTTTTTTACCTTTTAATTAATAATATAAGCATTTGATTTAACGGTAAGTATACATACGTGTATATAATTATTAAATTGGTTTTAAATATTCAAATGGCCAATTTTACCATTGCTAGTGGTTTAACATTGGAAAACCATATCTATTTTTTTATGTTATTAAATGTTTCTTTACACAATACTGAATGTGCATGAATAGAAAATGTCTACATGAAAAATTTTGTTTTTGGCAGAGTATACAGAAACCACCTATATTACCACCACAACCAGCACAACCAACCGCCGCACCACCAACAAACAATACAACAAATCTACCTGTGGCGAGCAACAACAGTGAGGTACCACCTCCATCTTCCACTTCCAGCTCCATATCCTCCACTCAATCACAAAACAGCAACCATGCAGCATCCAACAACAAATTTATTACCAATCCTAGTCCGATGCCCTCAGTTGCCAGTCGTAAACCTTCCGTCGAAAAGCCGCCCGTCTCGTTGGCGTCGCAAAACATTGCACCTCCCACCGCTCCTCAGGTGCCAAAACCGGTCGCCCTTCCTACCCCGTCACCCGACAAACCTAAACCTAATATCTTATCACCGTTGTCTAGTGCGTACACGGACCCGCTCGAACAGTCCCTGGCTAGGTTAGAGCATGACATAGCAAAATCCGAACCAATGGAAGTCAAGTCCGAGGCCCTCGACTTGCCCGGCAATCTATTACCAATGCCGCCTGTCCTTAGCAATCCCATGCTAAATCCCAACATCAACTCTAATCCTAACCTACTCCCTGCTTTGCAGCCAAATTTGGGCATGGACATGAAACAGCCCATTGGGATGATGCCAATGATGCCGCCGAACTTGCAAATGCTAGGTATGCACAATCCCTTGGAAAATGACATTGCATCGCTGATGCAAAACAGCCACCCGCCCTACATGATGCATTCCCAAAACAACGGAATCGGTATGAAGAACGAATACGACATGCACACAAACAACAACGGCATTTCTTCCATGGGTCTGCCCATGGAACTCTCTATCCCGACCATGTTCGACTCGCTTCCGCTACAGATGAACAACAGCGGGATGAGAAAAGATCAAAATCCGCCCAAAATGGATGAAAGAATGGACCTGGGGCACATGGGTATGAGCAACGACAAAAAATCTCACAACATGGACTCCCATAAGCAGCATTCTCAATCCTTCGCCGCTGGGTACAAACCTAACAAACCAGACCACAACGTAAAGAATGCCAGTTCCTGGTCTAGCCTTGGATCCAACCTTGGAAAAGGCAGTTCGCCTCAGAGTAACAGCCAAGGCGGCAGCAGTAAACAAACAGTCATGGAGAGCTTCAAGGCGTTCCAGAACAAGGCAAAAGAGAAGGCCGATCGCGAGAAACAGCGCTTGGAGAATTTGGAAATGAAGCGGTTGCAAAGAGAACAGGCTGAAAAGGAAAGAATACGCGCGGAAAACGAAAGAAGAAGGGAACGTGAAGAAGAAGATGCACTGGAGAAAGCAAGGTAATTTTGTTTAAATTTATTTTTAGGACTTGAAAACCTAATATATTTTGGATTTTTAGGAAAGCGGTGGCTGAACAACAACAGCAACAACCTATACCTGTACAACGAGTTGAAGAACTTAGATCGTCACCTGGTGAAGGAAGCATCTCTCCTGGTTCCCAGAGTTCAGGTTCCGAAAAGACGGAAAGGGAAAGACAGCGATTACAAGAACAAGAAAGAAGACGAAAAGAAGCGGTAAGTACATTAATTAAGTGTATAAATTAGAGAAGGATGAGCACTTTCAAAAGTGCTCATAAATGCATTTACCAAAGTGCTCGATATTTGAATTTGGCGCCAAAACTAAAAAGCGGTTGAAAATGTTAAAGGCACGTTAGTTACGTCATAATTATAACTAGAGATGGGAATCGGAAAGTTTCCATTTTAAGGAAACTTTCCGTTTTGGAAAGTTTCCAATTGGGAATTTATTTTCATTTTGAAAGTTTCTTTTAAGCTACCGGAAACATTAATTGGAAACATTCCTTGTTTTTTTCATTTAAATGTCAATTGTTTAACCGCTGATTTTCGTTAAGGCCATGATACAAGGCCAAGAAACTTTGAATAAGAATTTAATGTGTGTTAATTTAAGGCAGAAGAAGAAGTATAAATAATGTAAGTTATGTTACATAACCTCAATGAAGCCGGATTATTCAGCATCATCACAAAAAACCCTGGCATAAAAAAAATATTTTCGCAATAAAAAATATTTTTTTTAAACTTTCGGAAAATTTCGGGAATTTTCGATGGAAAGTTTCCGGGAATTTTCGTCAAATGGGAATTTTCCCATCTCTAATTATAACCCGTTTTTGTTCCCCGAGCGTTTAATATTTGACATCAAGCTAGATAGCTCATATGGTAGGGTTGTCGCTTGGCATGCGAGAGGTCCCGGGTTCGATACTAAGAAGTTGTCGAACTTTTTTTATTTTTTTATTTTAATTTTTATATTTATTTAAATTTGTTGTTTCTTTGTTAAACAGTGTTCGGTTGGGTTGGGTTGGTTGGTTTGTTTTAGTTTTATCGTAACATAAAATCTACTAGAAGTTATCGAACTTTTTTTATTTCATAAATTTGTTGTTCCTTTGTTAAAAAGTGTTTAATTTTTTTCGTAACATAAATTTGCCCATTTTAGTTTTTGCTCAATGGGGCGGGGGGGCCAATGGGGCGGGGTCGGTTGGGTTGTGTTGTTGAGTTTGAGATGGTTTGGGTTTATGACGTAACTAACGTGCCTTTAACATTTCGAATCGCGGCACGTTAGCGTGCCTCTAGTCACAGCGTAATATTTACTGTTTACATCAGAACATGTGCGGGCCACAAAAGTGGTGTAGGTTTATCTAATTCCAAAATAGTTTACTTACCTCTATTTTGTTGGAATTTTTTTGTTCAATAATTTTTTTTATAAAATTTATATTTCATCGTTTATAAATGCTCGAGCATTTATGAGCACTTATGAGCGCTTTGCAAAGCGCTAGAGCATCTGCCATCTATAGTATAAATTTATACAAACTGTAGAACTAAATAATTTTTAAAACATTTTTATCATAATTCGTTTCAGATGGCCAATAAAATTGACTTGAATATGCAAAGTGATCTTATGGCTGCATTTGAAGGTTCATTATAATAAGTAGTGAGTGAATGGGTGACACTCTTGAGTGCAACATTTATGTAATTATGTGTATTTAAATATTAATTTTATCAAGTGTTACAGACATTATAAGAACGCTCAAAAACTTTTTGAGGCTTCCATCATGAGTTAAGATTTAAACGAATTTATGATTTTCTTATGCCTAACTCATGTTTTTAATTGTTTTTTTTAGTTAGATTAATTTCACATAGTGTACATAGGAATGACTTTATATTAATTATTATAAACTGTACAGATACCAGGGGTTTAGAATAAGTTTTCCACGCTAATTAAAAAAAAATAAAATGAACGAGTTTGGCATTTCACAACAGCAAGTATATCTAGCAGATTTAATTAAATACCACATATTGACGTAATTACCTCACAGGTTCAGTATTTGGTATATGGTTGTATAATATTAAGATACTCATAATTTTTATTCTATGTCTGGTATTTTATATCTTGCTGTTTAAATGCTTAAAATGCTGCCAGTAATTATTGAAAACATTAATTAATTTATGAATAAATACAAAACATGTACATAAAATATTTAACATAAAAAAGTATTCACGTTTATGAGTATGTAATGTTTGGATAAATTCAAGTAGTACATTTCTAAATTTATTTATAATGTTTTTCATGTGTTAAACTTAATATATTTTTTAATGAAATAGTACTTTTCTCAATATTAATTTTATTGGCTAAACATATTATGATTTATAATAATTTTACTATTTCTGTATCTCAACAAAATTTTAAGTTAGATATGGGGCAATAAAAATAACAACACCAGTAAATTTATTTAACATCTGCATTTAAAAGATTTGGATTTTACTTTTACATTCATTTTTAAATATAATAATTTATAGAAAACATTGAGAATAATTTTGTATGTGCTACATTGTTTTTGCCTAACATTTGAATTTAGTATCATTACATGATATAATACCTGACCACAATTTAAATGAATAATATCTATATGTATAGATAGTTTTATATTTTAATTAGTAGTAAAAATGAGTGTAAAATTTAAAAATAACATTTACTATTGTCAGTGATCATATTGTTAATTAATAAAATACGTCTAATGTTTTAAAAGGCAGCAGCTAATACAATAAAATACAAAAAATCATTTTGTAAAAAACTATTTATTGCATTAAATAGAAGGTATATTTGAAGCTATTATTAGGAATATCAATTTAACAACTATTTATTATTATTTTTAAATTAATTTAGAAGGTGCACCTTTACTAATTGCAATTTTCTATACAGAAAAATGGTGGTCATAAGTTAAGAATTATTTTAAAACTTAATTATAACAAGATATTAAAAAATAAACTAAAAAGTACTACAATTTGAGTTCAGTAGCAATAAGATAAGGTACTAATGACCTATCTCAGTTTTGAATTTTAAAGAGCTTTTTGAATAAACTTTTTTATACATTTATAAAGATGTTGTAATTTTAATAAGGATTTTATTAATTAAAATGGATTTTTACAGGAACTTACTGTTAATCACATTATTTTGAATTTGTGCCATGCTCATTAGCTTAATGTGGCCTTTTTATAATAATCATATAACCTGATGGATATATATATATATTTGTTTTACTTAAAAGATTCAAAGTTTATTCAAATAGTCCTTAATCTTTTAGTCCAAAATGCTTTTAAGAATATGCTGTATAAATTATTGTAATATAATAATTAGGTAATGTAATTGTAGTGGTAGAAATGTCTTACATTACCAAACACATTTTACTCCTTTTGTACAGGACAATTGAAATTTCAATTGTATCCTGTTTATAAAATATTTTAAAATTATATTTAAATCACAAATGTTAATAACTGGTTTGATTATCCTGTACAAATTTAGACACAAAATGCAGTTAAGCATTTTTTTGATGAAATAAAATTCATTTACCTTTATTTATAGTAATACATAATTGTAAAATAATTTATGATGTATGGCTGTTATATATTTTTTCATTATTTTGAATTAAGTCATGAATAGTGATGTTAGAATAAATATTTAAGACATAATAATCTGTCTTTTATTTTTGTCTTGGTTTTATACAGAGAATCCAATATTTTTATACCAGTTGAAATTTTATTTTTTATTGAATATTTAATTTTTGAGGGTGGTCTGAATAGTTTCGGACCTAAGAAAGAAACATGGCATTTTTTTCATATTAATTTTTATTTTTCAACATAGTCTGTAAGTCTATAAACTTCTTCCAGCGATGCTTCCCTTCCTTCAACCCCTCCAAATAGTAGTTGGTTTCTTTCTCTTTAAAGTAGTTGTTTACAAAAGTGATGGCCTCCTCATTTGCTAAAAATATCTGTTCTCCAAGTGCAACTTTTAGTCTAGGAAATAAAACAAAGTCGCTTGGAGCTAGACCTGGTGAGTAAGGAGGGTGGTTAAGCAGTTCCGCTGAAGTGTGAGGGCGCGTTGTGTGGGTGAAACAAATTTTGTTTTCTATGCAAATGCGGCTGTTTGTCTGCAATTTCTGCCTTCACCTTGTCAGACAACCCTTGTACCATGCCTCGCTTTTATAATACCTCGTACTTACCTATTTATTCAATAATTATAATAAATCCTTTATTGATCCCAAGAAACATAGATTGTTTATAGAGGGACAAACTCTAAACATCTAATAATTACAATATACCTATCACATTGGTAATGCAACATTATCTCATAAGATAACTATAGTCATACAAATATACAATGCAATATACTTTATACATTAACTTACATATGAGTACCGTAAACACGGGTGGCTTTGGCTCACTTTCAAACTTAATCTTAACATTTTTGTAGTTTTAACAATCATAAACATTAAATATTGTATACCAAAATTTGAGTCTTTAGTTGCTCTTTCATAATAACTATGTTATAATCTTACATAGTGTTGAGTTTCAAAAATAAGAATTAAAAACTGGGTGTGCAAAGTTACCCCCTGGTTGCGGGTTACTTTGTCTCACGGTATTTTCCGTATAAAATTACCTCAATATTATATTTTATTTTTATTAGACATATGTTAGCAGCCACATATAGCAATTGCAAGGGATTACCGATAAAAACAATAAAAAATCGACCTGTAGTTAACCAAGGATCATCATTCCAAAGAATTGCGCATAATATAGAAATTGAAACGCGTGTATTTTTAAGAGTTTTGCACTAATGCAATATATACAAGTTTAAAGTGTAATAAATCGCATTTATTTTTTTAAAACACTGATTTTCCTGTAATATAAACTCAATAGAATCGCTCAATTAACAGGTTTAGACCAACAAATTCTAAATGTTAATTTTATCGAGCACGAAAAATTTTTTTATAAAAGGGCTAAAGTCACCCGTGTTTACGGTACATTAGATGCACAACTCTGTATTTGCAGGATAAGTGATTTTAAGAAAAACATGAAAAACCGCCCAAGATCATTTTTGAAAAAAAAATGTAAAAGTTGTATAGACGTGCTTTTGCATCATTTTTATTCAAAAAAGTAAAAAAAAAATCCTTTGAAATTAGGTATTTTAGTAAATAATTATAATCAAAAGATTTAAAAACATAGTTTTGCATCTTCCTCGTTCATAGACCAAGTTATGCAAGTGAAAAGTGCAAATTCCAAAAAATAAAAATTAATCAGGTGATTGTTGTAACAATTAACCAGGTGATTGTTGTAACAATTAACCATGTGATTGTTATGTCGTCACGTAATGCGTATACTAGCGACGTGATTGGTCAACAGCAAATACCCAGTTTGGCATCTGCGTTAAGTTTTTAAATGTATTTTATTCTACAAATACTAACTTATACATCTGGTTTATTTAGGTATGCTGTAGGCAGTGCAGTAATGTACATAAATAGGATAAAATATACATTTTTAAAAATTTGCAAAAACCGAGTTTTGCATTTACCCGGACAACAATCGGAATTTCCTGGTGAAGTCATGATGATATCACAACGTGATTTTTTTTATCACGCTGTGATATCCTCAGTGCATAGACATGCTTCATCACAGTGATGTAGAACTCACGGTGTGATATTTGCAAAATTTGCGCATGCGTATGAGCCCTGAGAACTGCGAATTTAAAACCTAGTTTGTTATTTACATTACACCGTTATAATTTATAAAACGTTGTTTGAATATCACGAATGTTGTCCGCGTTCAATTAAAAAAGATATGCCAATGTTTAACAAAACGTGAACGTTTTGTTAAACATTGAAATATCTTTTTTAATTGAACCCCACGGACAACATTCGTGATATTCAAACAACGTTTTATAAATTATAACGGGAATACCCGAATCTACTATGAAGGATGTTATTTGCAATATTTCAACTTACTTTTCAGACAAATCAACAACAAACTCTAATTGTTCGTATACTGGCAGCACTGTTTTAAAAAACCAATTATATCACTGTTCGTTGTAATTAAACAGTCACAGCGGTCTTATAAGACGCGATGCAAGAAATTATGTTTTGGTGTGGAAGTTTTTGTTGATAAGGTAGATTTTTAATTCTTACAGCCATCTACCAGATATCTAAGTAGGCATCGTTTTATGCTTTAACTTTTCCAAAATAGATGGTAATCGAAAATTTGTCACATATACTTAAGTAAGTATATGATTTGTCAGTGACAAATCATATACTTACTTAAGTATATGTGACAAATTGTCACACATACTTAGTATGTGATTTGTCATTAACGGGATTACCCGCATGTACGCCAATACCCGCCGCTCCCCTAAACTAAAAATTACAAAAATCTAAACAAAATTTTGACCTACGACCCCTTACAAAAACAAACTGATAAAAAAGAACAAGTTTCATCTCAATTTAAAATCAATGAACTACTGAACTACTATATAAATTATATTGATATATTGATTTTAAACAACAAAAAATTATTTAAATTTTCTAAAAGTTAAAATCAAAGGCGATTTTATAAATAAAAGTGGACTAAACAAGTTTGAAGAAATTTAGTTAAAAAACTTAAAAATTAGCGTTTATTTAATAAAATCCCTAATTTCGATGCCTTTATAAAGCTTGTGGGGAACAAACCCGACAGTTGGCAAGAGTGGTCCCCAAGAAACAAAAAGTTAACAGCACTGGAGAGAAATGTCAATCATAGATAATAAATAAGAGTTGGAGTCAGTGTTGCCAATGAACATTTGTTAGATTGCACAGTGAAGTGCTCCAAAACGCACGGTTTTGCACGCAGTATATTTTGTTTATATGTTATAAAAGTACAATTTTTTTTTATTTTTAAGCATTTTCATAGAAATATACAAGTTTCGCACGCAGTATATTTTGTTTATATGTTATAAAAGTACAATTTTTTTTATTTTTAAGCATTTTCATAGAAACATTGTTGCATTTCAAATTTAAGCCTCCCTTTCAACGAAAACCGTAGTGCTGTTTATACATTAGGGTACGGGAATCTATAACCAGCACTACGCTTTTCGTATTGTTCATCTTTTACGGGAGGAAGGGATGAAGGAAGGAAGGAAGGCAATCTATAAATCAGGCTTTAATGTTTGCAAATTCTTTATGTTTTACGGTCTGGTTAGGTCTTTGGAAAGTATAAAAATCAACAGTTTTTATTAAATTTAAAAAATGTTTGGTATTATCTTTGGGTATATACAAGGTGTCCCTAAACTTAGTGGCAAAAATTTAGGAGCAGATTAAGCAAGACAAAATAAGACGAAAATCTAGATAAATATTTTTCCTAATTACGTATATCTAAAAGATAAGTCTTATTAAGTCAGACTAATAGCAAGATTTGGGAGTCTTCTGGAAGAGTTAATAAGACTTTTTAAGACTTAATAAGACTTTTAGTAGATAAATGGTAGGTACATACGGAGATAAAAATAAATATCCGAAATAATTCATAGAGGTTGTATTTGGTTTTCGTAAAATAAAACACATAAAAAAGTATTTATTAATTAATGTTAACATTTTTGCTGTTGTTATAAGCCAAGTTTATTGCATAATTACCTATATGTATAATAACATAGGTAAGATGTAGTAATTATAACAATTATAATTTTATACTTACGATGCGCTTGACATGCATGCTTTCATTGTTTCCACCATAGAAAAAGGAGTTCGAACTGCATGTAAACAAGAATCTTCCTAAGGAAAGTAGGCCCTGGTGTCCCGTTTATTCTGAAACAATTGACTAATTTGTACCAAAACGCTACCAAAAGAGCAGACGTCAGGACGCATCAACAATCAGCGCCGCTGGTGGTGAAAAAAAAGACTTAATTTGTGCAATTTAGAGGGCAGGTTTTGTAAATTTTCTCTATTAAGTTCACGAGACGCTAAATGCCACTGGCGGCTCCTCTTACTGCGCATGATCGCTTAATTGACAAATGTGTCGCGATTGAAAATGTTAAAGGCACGTTACTAACGTGACGTTAGTTACATCCGTAGATAGCTTATGTTCTGTGGCTCAGATGGTAGGGCGCTTAATAAGCGATAATAAGGGATGGGAAAAATCGGTAAGAAAAACTATCGATAGTTTACCAAAAACTATCGATAACTATCGATAAACATCGGTAATTTCCCCCACCCTTATTCTAGGGCGGGAAATTTAAACAAACTATAAAAAAATGCGTTTAATTACATTTCAAAATATCTTTATTTTAAAAAGTACATGTAGTACCCATTGTGTAGGAAATTCCCTAAACTAGGGAAATGTAAATGCATTTACATTTCCCTAGTTTAGGAATTTCCTACACAATGGGTAGTATTAATCAAGGATTTTGTAAAATCCTTGACTATTAATAAAAATGAAATATTATTTTTTTTCTATGATGCTATCCAACAAACAGGCACAAACTTAGAAGGGTAAAAAGCTGAATTGCAATTTTGACATTTTAAATCTATCGATAGTTATCGGTAACGTCAAAAACTATCGATAGTTACCGATTCCACGACTTATCGATAACTATCGATAGTTATCGATAGTTTTCCCATCCCTAGCGCTTATGTTCTGTGGTAGGGCGGTCGCTTGGCATGCGAGAGGTCCTG